AGCTCAAGTGAAAGGGATGAGAGTAGTGCACATTTTGACAAGTTGCACTTCAGCAGTGTGCAGTGGTTTTAAGTATTCAAGTAAAAATGATAGAAATGTGTTGACAGTTTATGATTAGACCTGCTTATTGCAGACATTTTGACATCTTACAGAAATGCAGACATAATTTAAGTTATTAATTAAACCTGAATATGAAAAGGCCTTTTTTATATTGTATTTATGGTTATATCAATGATGATATATCAATTGATGAGGGAACCAACACATTTTATAGTCAAACACTTTTTGCAAATGGCACTTAAATATAAGATATAAAACAGCGTCGTTCCAGCTATTTTTTGATGTTTTCACATTTCAATGTATTCAAACACAGAGATGTGACTCAACTTGGCTTTACAGGTCAGTATGTAGCCTTGGATTTAAGAAAAAATATAATAAACTGAGCTACACTTTTCAAAGATTTAGGTGACGCATTTGGTACTGTTGATTATTACTGAGGTTCTACCCAGAACCATTTGCTTCTGAAGAACACATTTTTACAGGAAAGGGATCTTTAAGGGTTCTTTGTAAGATTAAGAGCATGGGTGTTAAAAGATCCTTTTACTCATAGATGTAAGGAATCCCCCTAATCAATTACTTTTACTTGTGTTCTGCCATAGTTGATATCTTTACCATCATTTCATGCCATACAATAGTTGTGTTAGTTGGTTGGTCTCTCCAAGGTGAGATATCTTGCGTGTAGATGTTTTGGGCTGTGGACTGAATAGTTTTTGGTTTCCAGTTTGGTGAACAAGCTTAAAACTGCTTTGATTTTATTCAATTTGTCATCCTTTAAAAAGAGACAAAAAGCAGCTCTCAAGTAATTTTAACCCTTAAAAATCACTAGTACAACTAGTTTTAGGAGACGTGACAGCAACCTCACACTAATGGTTTAAACTATAAACCAACATAAAAATGAGGATTACCATCATAAAACAGATACATTAAAAACACAAAAAGTAACATTTGCATTTTGGAACATAAAACAGCAAACTTAACAAACTACTTAGTCCAACACTAGGGCATGACGGGAAATGTGGGCGGCCACTACAATACATTCAGGTCAATGCACATCCTCCTCTACAAAACAGTTGTGACGTATGAGGTGTTCAGGCCGTCTCCTAGACTGAGGAGGAGAGTTTGTTAGAGAAAGGTGGATGAAGGTTAAAAGAAATCAGGTCAGATCTAAGAATTGAGCTGTATTTTTCCACCCAGTAGAAGACGGTAACTGCCTCTAAAACCAAAGAAGAAGAAGAATAGGGATGAATTTAGTCTTGGGTTTGTTCACACCCGTCTAGAAGTGATCACCTGATTATCTCTGTGAATTTTATACTAGAAGCTGGATTGAAGTGACAGGATCAGAAACTTCAAGGTATAAGATAAATGTAATATTCTCAACATTATTATGTGCCCACACTCTGCTCTCATTGGACCCTGCATTACTTTGCTGTTTGTAGATGGCTTATGATTCATATGGTGTACTATAGGGACATTGGCATGATGCTACGAACAGCCTGATGTGCCTGACTTCCACTGGTCCCATAGGCTCCATTTGGACCTGCTCCCCTGGGACCTACACAGCCTCTCTTGTTCTGTTGGCTTATCCTTCTCATACATCATTGCTCCAAGATTTTTAAATTAATATTCAACATTGTTTGAATGTTTTCTCAGTTTATTTTAACATAGAATGTTAAAATGATGGATGACCACAATATAAACTCTTATAAAAAAGACTATTTTTAGAGCAACTGGGTGGGTTCTTGGTGGAAACTTTTACAGGTGTTTCTATGTATAACCCTATAAAAGGTTATCCTATGAGGACAAGCCAAATGACCCTATAGCCTATGGTTTGAGTTAGCACTTTTATTTCTAAGAGTGTAAATACAGTTTTACATTAATTTGCTCCATTAGAATTGGTATTAATGACAATCTGATTTAATAAAGATCCATAAGGCGGTTTCTTAGGGGTCTGTTTTATTCTAATACATAATAATAATATGGAATAATCCCATAAAAAAACTTCTTATAGCTTTCTCTCAGTCTTTGGTAATATTCAATCTACAGGCAGATTTTCAGGTGCAAACACCAGCTCTTCTTTTCTTTTTGGTACCAAGTGGTACAAAAGATAAATAGGTAACCTCCTGTACAGGTTCAGGGACCTGGGACTGTGAGTATGTGCTGTTGTACTGGAGATGTTAAGCTGTAAGATATATAACAGTTGACTTCCCTATTCCCTCCCCTTTTCCCTTTCTATATTTATTCATCCATTTATGGAAAACAGCCTATCTTACATGACTTTTGAAGCACAGGAAAACACAAATCTTACCTACATTTACAAATACTTGCTCCACTCAGATGAAATAAATGTAAAATTATTATTATTCTCAGTGGTTGTAGAAGTTTAACTAGGTTGTTACACCATACTCTTGTATTTAATTTACAGGTCTTTATTGCCTATAGTGTTGCTTTTTTGTATCCTATTTTTTTTTTCTTTTAATTATACATTATAATATTATGAAGTTTAGTATCCTGTATTTTATTCCATATATAGCCATAAATAGCCTCCATCTCTATATATTGTTATATACATACTTAGACTCTCATTATATTTGACTATTTTCTATTCTTATTTTACATGTGTATACCTAATATATACACATTTCTATTTGTAGATCTATTGTTAGTTATTGTAACATAATTATTATTTAATTATAAATATCATATTAAATACAGTATTTTTATATTTTATGTTATTATTATTGCTCTGTTATGGTCTTGTTGAGCCATCTTAACTCTTCCTGTTAAACTGACAACAACCTGGGAACAAAACACACAAAAAAAAGCGAACTGGTTTAGTTTGATTCTCTGTAATACCCGTAGTTCCAGTCTCTCAACACGGAAGCAGCTATGAATGGCTGCAGCGCTAACTGCTATTAGTGTTTTTAATCCTCAAATACAGCCACGAATATATAACATAAAGGCGGGTCATGAAGTACGGAGACAGGTGGCTTTGTAATGTGTCGCTTTGCCAGTGTAAACATATAAAATGAGACGTTACAGCTTCTTTTATCTGTGCGCAAGGACGCGTCTCGTCGGCTGCTAGTTCAAAAACAACTCCTCTCCTCTTTACTCTCTCAGTTTAGGCAAAATGAAGGTCCGCTCGTCTGTTTTCGCCTCGTTTATTTTAATCTCCGAGGTGATTGGCGTCGCCCTCTTCCTGCGGGGCTTCTTCCCTGTGCCTGTCAGGTCTTCCCTCTCATCCAAGAGCAAGCTGTCAGATCTCCCATCGGAGCCGCTGACAGGTGAGTTCACAGCGTGTCTCACCTGCGTCCAGGTGCAGATCCCATGTCAGGATTAGGGGGGGGGACACAAAAGTGTTGTTTTTTTGTTTTTTTTTGCACGTATGCAGCTCATACCATGCCACAATAAATCACAACTTCATAGAGGCTCGCCATATCATTCAAAAAGTACTGCACAGGGAATCATTTATTGTGCTTACCTGTTTTGTTTATTACATACATTATTATAAGAGCGCCTATCACTGCTTACTTACCTGTTATATTAGTAAATCATCACTTTAAGGGTCTCTTTAAGGGAATGTAATGTACCTCATGTTCTTATCTTCCCCTCCAGCCCTCCCAGATCCCCAATTCTTCTCACCACCTTCCCTTTCTCCCAGTGTATGGGACTACT